AAACTGGAAAAAAAAAAAAAATTTCAAAACTGTTCTAGGAAAACTATACTAGTATCTCCATGATAGTGAAATAGCACTGGAAGCACTCCCTGAGTGACTGCATTTGGATCCTGTACCTGCTGTAACTCGTCTATCCTGCGGCGGAGCGTGTCCATCTCGATGCTTTGCTGGCCCACTTTGGCATGCAGCTCAGCGATGGTCTGTTTCTGATGGGTGCAGTGGTTCTGCGATTCATCCCGAGACTGACGAACCGCTCGCAGTTTCTCCTCCAGGCTGGTCAGGTGCTGCTGCTGCAGAGGGAATGAGCAGAGGATCTTGTGGCTTTGATGAACAATACTGCAGCTACTAATGTAGCAACAATTCAAAAAGTATGGCATACCTCCTCCAGTCGCACTTGGGCACGCACTTTCCCAAGCTCCTCCTCAGCCTGAGCTCTCTCAGTCACTAGAGACGCTTTCACTCTGCTCAGCTCCTGCATGCAAGAGTGCAAACGTGATTCTTCATTCTGTCGATCTTCTTTATGTACCATTAAGAACAATGACATTCCAAAACCAACAATAATTCTAAAGAAAACAAGGCTGAGGTTAGTTTTCAAATGGAATGAATAATTCACCCAAAATGTCATTCCAAACCCGAATGCTTTTTTTTTTTAAACACAAAAGTAGAATTTGAGAAAGAAACTTGAGAAAGTGACAGGACATAAAATGAACTATAAAAATGTATATGTATATATTCCAAGTCTTAGGATTTTTTTCTGAAAAAAATAAATAATAACTTTTTTACAGTTATTGACTAAAACTAAAACAACAAAAAAACATTTTTTGTTTATAATAAACTTTAACTGAAATAAAATAAAATATATATTATATATACTTCATTTCAGCTAATTGCCAAGAAAACATTTCTCATTTTCAGTTAGTACTTGAAAACTGAAATAAAAACTAACAAAAACTATATTGACATATGAAAAATAAATAAATAATAATAATAATGACAAAAACGTGCAAATTACTAACGTTTTAACTAAAATTAAAATGAAAACAGAAAATAAAAACATTCAAAATATGAATAAAAAACTAGTATCTCAATGATACTAAAATAACACTGCAATACAACATGAGAGTACTTCTTCTAATTGGATCCGCTGTCCTTCAAGTTTGAGGGTGCGTTCTTGAAGAGCTCTCTCACTCTCCTCCTGGTGTCTTGTCAGATGATCCACCTGGAGCGAAAGGACAATGAACTTTCAGCAACAGCAACTAAGAATTTAAGCAAAACTCTCTGTGGGTTTAACATCTTCACCTCCTTCTGTCGTAAACTGTCCATGTCTTCAAGTGCCTGCTTGGATCTTCTCTTCTCCATTTCCAGCCTTTCTAATGGAACCAAGAAAACATTTCAAACTTTAAAATACAATCTAAAAGCAGAGGATTTTGCCATATAGCCGAGTTGGAAGTGATGAGCACCTTCGGTTTGGGCGAGACGCAGCTTTAGTTCAGCAGTGGTGTTTGTGAGTTCCTGCTTCAGCTCAAAGATCTGCTCCTGTTGTGTTTTACATCTGCGTTCGGTCTCCTCCAGCTGTGAGGGTTAAACAGACCGGGTAAATCTCACACACCCAAGCTGCTCATTATATGAAATGCTTGGCCTCTGTACCTTGTTCCTAAGCTGGAGGTTCTTCTCTGACAAGCTGTTCACCTCCTTCAAAAGCTTTGCTTCCTTCAGAGCACTATCCTACAAACCAGAAACATGACAAATCATTTACTATGAAGTAGCAGCTAGTTAAATGATCAAGCGTTGTAATCGTATACACTACTATTCAAAAGTCTCTTCTGCAGACCAAGACTGCATTGATTTGATCAAAAATACAGTAAAATCAGTAATATTGTGAAATAATAATAATGATATGTTTTCTATGTTTTAAAATGTAATTTATTTCTGTGATCAAAGCTGAATTTT